GAAATTATAAGCTTAGATTTCCACACGATGTGTTCCTTCACCGTTTGTCAGTGGTGTCTAAATAATCTTAGAAAGTACATATAACTCGGAAAAAGTCACATTGGTACTTGCCGTTGGTAGGTTTCGAACACCCTCATGCGTACATGTACATTAATAGTTTAGATTAATTATTATTATTACTTTTGGATATCAAAATCACCTTTATAATGTCCCTCATACAGGTTATTGACCTATTGGGGTGTTACGCGACCTCTTAGGGCTTCGAACTTGCGGGATTTTGCCCCCTATTGCTAGACAAGGAAACAAAGGGCTCCGGGCATTGCCTCTTTGGGGTCTAGACGTCTGAGCTAGAGAATGCACTCAGGTCGAATTTTGGGAGTTCATAGGTACACACGGCTAAACATCGAGTTTTACATAACCAGTATAAACTGAACGTTAAATGTGCGGAAAGATGATGCGACGCGACACCAGGGTAAACTGGTTTTGTATAGATTGATATGTGGCCGTGTGTATAAAATTTAGTTTTTCGCATTTCGTTTTTAAGTTTATATGTACACTAGCGGACCCTACAGACGTTACGCATATAGTATAATAATAGGTATAGATATAAATAACCTAAAGTACTGCAGCGCCATCTGCCGGGTTGATTTGTGAATCTAAACCATTCCCAGATCCCCTTGAACACACAAAAAATTTCGTCAAAATCGGTCTAATCGTTTAGGAGGAGTTCAATGACATACACACTCACAGAAGAATTATATATATAAAGATAAAAGGTGATTTTATTTTCGTTTTCGTTTATTTGTGTTTACGAGTGTAAGCTTTTATCGATTAAAGGAATGTTAAGTCAATTTCTAGTCGCGGAGAACCTAACGGGTTACCGGGGCTCCGGCTCGACGTGCAGGAGAAGGAACGGGGTGGTTTTTAGTCAGTAAGAGTCTGACACTCCCTTCCGCCTCACCCAGGCGGGAGCAGATGATTGATGATTTTCCCCCGTTAAAAAAAAAAGTCAATTTCTAGGTCAAGTTGTGTGTAAGTACATGAACTATTAAATACATCAATAGAAAGTCAATCGCTTCGAAATTTTGCAAAACAAATTCAATTTACTTTTGACTAGTAACTTAAAAACATCTCTGTTTTGTCTAAAAACTAGGAAAACTGTTGATTCAGGTGTTTATAAATACTTGAATATGAACACAGACACAGCTGACTCATACACGACACGACGCTTTGTCTGTGCGTCGCAAAATTACTAAAAATTGAGTAATTCTTGCCAGTGTGTAGCCACAGTATAAATAATTATATACTATGGTGTAGCATAGACAAATTTATCAATATGGAACTCCTTTACAAAAATGTGAAAGAAATAAAAAGCATTTATTTAGCCATTGGCACACGAAAACAAGGATTATTAAAAACACATAACATAACATCACGCCTTTTATCCCCGAAGGGGTAGGCACATTACGGCACTTAATACCACTGGACAATGTACTACCCACTTTTCACTATTTATGTTATGAGTCCCTACATAGGGGGTGAGTCTATTGCCATATAAGTACCAGGCACAGTTTCAGACTCCGTGCTACCACTGGGATTTTTTTTAAAACCCAGTAGTACTTTTGCCGAGCCGGGAAAAGTACTACTGGGTTTTTTAAATAAATTATTTCGACTGTCGTCCAATTCGAAATAATTTATTTTTGATTAAGCAAAGTACCGAATTTTGTGAATATTTACAATTACGTATGACGATGCTTACCCTAGTTTTATCTAAAATCTGGATCGTCTATTTCTCTTTCTTACGCAGTGCGGGATTCGTTCTATTTCGGCTATGTCCTAACCTTGTCTTACCTTGACCGCTGGTAACCTTGTTACGCGATTTACGAGTTTTTTACTCCAAATCATTTGGTTTCTAGAAGCTATTTTAGGTAATTGTTAACAACGCCATCTGTTGAGTTTGATGGGAATTAAAGTTTCTTTGTTTCTCTGATTAAATTATTTGGGTTTGTTAAAATTATCGTATTGTAAACGTTGTATAATAAATTTGTGACCTTATCGTGCGTTTCTATGTTTATGTTTTATTAATGAACATTGTTAGATACTTATTTATTAATTCCGTTTTGTTCATTTACATTTTCTTACTATTCATTTTTATTTTCTATTTCGACTTATTATTTACATTGCGAATTTTTGTGTTGATTCTTTGTCTGCACAGCACATTATTCATTTCTTTATTGCATGTTTGCGTATTGCCTCTGTAGATAGCGCCGTCTGCCGTCGAGTAGCAAAATCAAGTAGATAAGAAACTTTAATATTTCACATCTAGATGGCGCTTATCTTAATCGTAGTTTAGCATTTGGAATACAGATGTCGCTAGCAACTCTGTACAGTTTCATATCTGTCCGATAGATGGCTGTAAACAAGATTATTCTTTTTAAACATTGTATCACAGATGGCGCAACTGCGCCTTCGGTTGTAAAATTACAAATGACTGAGATTTTAACTTTCTTTAATTGTTTGTTTTACTTTTAACATTATTTTTCGTGATTTAATTATTTACTTTTTATAGAATCTTATATCGTAGTTACGTTTAAAATAATACATGTTTTGTTTTCTAATTAAATCTTTTATAAAACTAGTTCATATATCTTACAAAAATGTTCCATCGTTATCAATATTATTTGACTTAACGATAATTACCTTAATTACTCTAGTTATAATTTATACATCTTTTTATATCAGACAACATGTGGGCAAAGTCGCCGGCAGGAACTATACCTATAGTTACACATTATATAAAGCATATAAATGGCATATGTACATAAAAAAACTAATTAAAAACTTCCAAATGCACTATGGTTTGATCAATTTTATTATCCCGCTGTGAGCGACCCCTACCGGCAATTTGATTGCTGACAAATTTAAAATATACGAACAAATTTCAATCTTATAGTCTAAAGAATAAAGTTCAAATTCCAATACCAATAAATTGCAGATGCGATATTTTAGAATCAATAAAAATTGTAGTTCAATATTTAAATTTGACGCATATTCGAATAGGCGTAACGCGTTCATAATTGTTCTCGATTTTAGAACCCAACCTCACGTATTCAGAGTTCATTTTTGCATGGATTGTTTTTCTTTTTTTACCGGTTTTAGATCGAAGCCGGTTATTAATTCAAGTGTTTGAACCAATTAAAGATGGCGTGCGTCGAACGTTGATTTTGTTCTTAATTATTTTAATTGTATACTTCATTTAGGACCTCGTTGGTCAACTCGCAACTATCATTGCGGAGATATCGATAAAGAGACAGCAGACAACTACTCGGGGCCGGCAAAAAGATTGCATTATACGATTTTCTTCCTTTCTGTCTTCTCATATCTATAAAATGCTATGCCCGCGACTTCGTACGCGCGATTTACAACGATTTTCGATGTCAAAAACCCTTATACTACTTTGCCCAAACTAGTAATCGAATCGCCATCTAACATAAGAATACGCGGCAAGACACAAACGCTAAAACTAAAACCAACAAATCAGACAAAATCTACAAAATATAATATTTTTATATTAAAACTTAAAAGCGGTCTCGCAAAAGGATTCCGAGAAAAATTCCTTCGTTATTATTGTATCGAATGAAAAAAAAAAGAAATCTTCGCGCCCTTTTATCTGTCACTGTCATCTTTGTCAAAATGGCGCCGACTTATATTATGATTATGAAGCTTTTAACGAATCTATTGATGTTATTGTAATCCGTTAACGTTATGAATCGATTATTATTAGTGTTTTTTTTTTAATAAACTTTTCTAGGGGATTCCAAACGGCTATGCATACTTACTTACCTAAACAACAAATAGAAACAAGTGTGGGAGAGAGCCATGCTTGGGCTTGCTCGACTGGAGTGATACCACAGCCTCATAGAAAACCGACGTGAAACAACGCTTGCGATATCTTACGTCGTGTGAGTGAGATTACCGGAGGCCCAATAACACAATTAATTAGTACTTGGACGGCGATTTTGCATCTATAACGGTTCAGAATACTCCTTGCAGTCTCTGATAATCCTGAACCCGGTTTTTGTCAAAATGAATAGTCCTTTAGTTGGCTGTTACGGCATCCACAGGCAAAGCTGGGGTATGACAGCTAGTCTAGTCTAGTAAACTTACTTCTTACTAATACTAATATATACGGGTCTGCGGACGGTGACCAGACCCGAGCGTACAGCGCCGGGCGTTCCGCGCGCGCTTCAAAGAGCTATCAGACCACCACGGATGGGGCTCAGTAGGGCTGATGCCGCGATACGGAACCGCGGAAGGCCTAACGGGTTGCTCCGACTCGAAGTGCAGGAGTAGGAACGGGGTAGTTTTTAGTCAGTAAGAGTCTGACACTTCCCTCCCGCCTAACTCAAGGGGGCACAAGTCATTGGATGATTTTCCCCTCTGAAAAAAAGAATGATTCTTAAGGAAGGTTTATATTGTATAATTACATATAGCACCCGTGCAAAGCTGGGGCGGGTCGCTAGCATATTATGAAGTAACCTAAATACTCTCACCTTTTATACCTCCCCTGGACTTCCTTGAACATTTATCGGTTCAGCCATTCTCGAGTTTTAGCGACATTGACGAACGGAAATTCATTTTTATTTATACATACATACATACATAACATCACGCCTTTTATCCTCGAAGGGGTAGGGCAGAGGTACACATTATATCAATATACAATGTAACACCCACTTTTCACTATTTATGTTATGAGTCCCATGTAATAGGGGGTAAGCCTATTGCCATATACCGGGCACAGTTCCAGACTCCGTGCTACTACTGAGAATTTTTTTAAAACCCAGTAATACTTTGCCCGACCCGGGAATCGAACCCGAGACCCCTTACCCGGCAGTCGCAATTGCGACCACTCGGCCAACGAGGCTGTATTTTTATTTATATACATATAGATATATCAATTCAATAAACTAATTATAATGTTTTTCTCTTGTCACCAGGACATGGATCTCATCGAGGTGCTATGGAAGCAGGATGTGGACATGGGATTTTCTTTGGAGGATCCTGTGCAACCGGTAAGTGTCTAAATCCCAACTAAATCCATTTGAAATCAATTAAATCATGATTTTTCGATAATGAAAATGAAAATTCGTAGTTTGCCAGTCAGTCGTAAGCAAGCATAGTCTTTGTCGCGGAGAACCTAACGGGTAACCGGGGCTCCGGCTCGACGTGCAGGAGAAGGAACGGGGTGATTTTTAGTCAGTAAGAGTCTGACACTCCCTCCCGCCACACCCAGGCGGGAACAGTGATTCGATGATTTTCCCAGCTTAAAAAAAAGCATAGTCTTTGCCCAGCAGAAGGATAGGTACAGGCGACTGAAAGATCCAGTCCAGGTTTCCTCACGACGATTTCCTTCACCGTTTGTCAGTGGTGTCTAGATAATCTTAGAAAGTACATATAGCTTGGAGAAAGTCACATTGGTACTTGCCATTAGTAGGTTTTGAACCTTGCATGCATGACAAGCGGGCGTCTTAAACCTCCGGGTCACCACGACATTCGACATTAGGCATAACCATAAAAATTAATAGAACCCCCTTAATTTCTAATAAATAAAACATAATCCGATGTCTATTATTATTTTATACATTTTTTATTTTGCCTCTATAGGAAGGTCCCACGGCAACCAAAGTGCTTGGAGATGAGATTGAGAAGGAACTGAAGCTCGCAGAAGAGAAGATCGTGAAGAAGAATGAAGAGAAAGCAGAGATTGAGAAGGTGAAGGCTTCGTTACTGGACCCCGAGATTAAAGAGGTACGTCAAAGTCCAAATCAAATTTATCATAGTTCAATCAAACAAGTAATTCATAAATAACGTGTTAAAAGGTTTCAATGAGCTGTATTCTCCCAATTAAGCCCTTTCGTTTGATATTCATAATGCAGGTAATTGTGGAACATTAGATTATATTATATGGTCATCAAGAGTAAGAGTGTGTACCAAATATCAGGTTGATATGTCGCCAGGAAGGGGGTGAAATTCCAATAATTAAAAGTAAATAAAACCGTTGAAAAATTGGTTTACATGGCAAAAATAATTGCTTTCTAGTGTTTTTTTTTTATTATGGCATAAGCCGGTAAACGAGCAGACGGATCACCTGATGGTAAGCAATCGTTGTCGCCTATGGACACACAGAACACCAGAGGCGTTGCAAGTGCGTTACCGGCCTTTTGGGATTAGGAATTTGAGGATTGTAGGGGATTCAGGGATTGGGGAATGGTAATTGGCCTCCGGTAACCTCACTCACACGACGAAACACAACGCAAGCGTTGCTTCACGTCGGTTTTCTGTGAGGCCGTGGTATCACTCCGGTCGAGCAGGCCCAGCAGTACCGAAGCATAGCTCTCCCACACTTGAACCTCAGTGTGTGGTCCAGTGCCTTTAGCCAAACGCCACTTTAGCGCTTGTCTACAGAGAGAGTAGAAATCAAAATATATGGGGATGACACTGACAAGTGTCAAAATTTTCGTCAATTCCATATAATTTGGTTTTCTATTCTACGTGTAGACAAGCGCTATATGGCATTTGGCTACAGCTGCAGGCGTTGAAGTGGCTACCCGTACACTGTACATAGTCGACGCCGATTGCTTACCATCAGGTGATCCGTCTGCTCGTTTGCTGCCACATGAAAGACATTAATAAAAGATCTATTTTACTGAAGGTTTTTCTGAAATGAATGTATTATTTTCAGGATGACCCTTGGGCCGGACTCTCTTACACCGTTGATACAGAGACAGGTAAGAAAATTACTTTAATAAAATTATTATAGCTCTTCACACTGATTATAGACTTGGGAGCAAAGAGACGGACCCACTATCGTATTCTCATTTTCATTTCCTGGTAAATATTGTCTGATACATATATTTTACTAGCTACTTCCGCGCGGTTTCACACGCTCTGCTCAGCTCCTATTGGTCGTAGCGCGATGTTTTATAGCCTATAGCCATCCTCGATAAATGCGCTATCCAACACAAAAAGAATTATTCAAATCAGACTTGTAGTTACGGAGATTAGCGCGTTCAAACAAAAAAACTAACTTCCGCTTTATATAATAGTACTAGCTTCAGCCCGCGACTTCGTACGCGAAATCCCGGTCTTTCCACTTCCCGATCGTGATTTTCGGAGAAAAGTAAAAAAAAAAAATTTCGATGAAAAAGTATCCTATGTCCGTCTCCTGGTTCTACGCTATCTCCCCACCAATTGTCATCCAAATCGATGTAGCCGTTCTTGAGTTATAAGTAGTGTAACTAACACAACTTTCTTTTATATATATAGATAAGATATAAGATTAATTGGTAAATACGTTATCATATACAAGACATTTTAGTTAACATTTCTTTGTATTCAATGGGCTGACGTTTGCCCACTATCTCGCCTGGTGGTAAGCGATGACGCGGTCTACGATGGAGCCAGGGTTGCCAAAGCTAATTCATCAAAATCCCCAAAATTCCTGATCGAATTCCCCAAATTGGGGAATAAAAATCCGCTGATTCCCCACAAATTCCCCTCAAAAGTTTTTTATAAAATAAAACTATAATCAGTTATTTAAATAATATTGATTGTTTTAATTTGAAACTGTTGAGCTTCTAATGGATTTGAAACAGATATAATAGAAAATAAAGGATCTCGGAAATCAAATATCTTAATAATGTCCGACGTGAATTCCTTATAAAATTCTTAGCATGCCTTATAGAAATCTGCAATAGCTGCAAAATGTACCTCGATTTTCATATTTTTTCAAATCTTCCATATTCTCTCCAGCTTTCATGCTTTATGATTTAAAAAAATGTTGTTATCGATAATAAACGATGAAATATTTTCCAATTTGTGTCAAATGCCAAAAGATGTCAAAATCCCCGCATTTTTCCCACATAATGCCAATCCCCAATAAATCCCCAACCAACTTGAGATTCCCCGCAGTTTGGGGAATTCCCCACAGATTGGCAACCCTGGATGGAGCACGTCGTCCAATAAGCAACCTATTCACTCGGGCCTTGAAGACACCCAGGTTATACCCTTCAGGAAATACAGACTCTGGCAAAGAATTCCACTCCTTAGCAGTACGCACAAGGAAGCTTGATGCGAAGCACTTCTTTGTAGTATTAGGAATCTTTTTTTAAGTTATAGAGTGTTCTATATAAACACGATAGTGCCTTCGTTTCTTTGCTACCTCCTGTACATTTTACACATAAAAAATCGTCTGAAAAATATTACTTATTGTGATAAAACCGCCATTCTGTTTAGTTTTTAATAACATTTGTAATATTCGCCTCTATTATGCTAAATTTCATTTGAATTGGTTCAGCAGTTTTTGAGATATCGATCCATTTTATTTAAAATAGGTCTGTAAAGGGTTTTGTTTTAAAGATGTACGCACACCAACACATCAATCTATACAAAACCAGTGTATCCTGGTGTCGCGTCGCATCATCTTTCCGCGCATTTAACGTTCAGTTTATACTGGTTAGGTAAAGCTCGATGTGTAGCCGTGTGTACCTACGTATACGTAAAATCTTGGATATTAAGAAAATTGTGAAGATGTACAAAAACAATATCGCAGTTGGCAGAGGACTGACAAGCAGCTGTAACCAAATGCCATTTAGCGCTTGTCTATATGTAGAGTAGAAAACCAAATTATATGGAACTAGCTTTTACCCGCGGCTTAGCTCGCGTCACAAAAGGATAAAAAGCCAATGTGACATATACCAATACACACAGCGCCATCTATATCAATACTTTTGTTTTCCCTCGGGAATATCAAATTTTTCCGGGATAAAAAGTACCCTATTATTTAATCTGGACTTCTAACTATACATCTGCAAAAATTCAAAGCAATCGGTTTAGTAGTTACGGCATTAAAGTGGAACAAACAAACAAACAAATTCACTTTCAGATTTATAATAATAGTAAAGGATTGACGTAAATTTTGACACTTGTCAGTGTCATCCCCATACATTTAGATTTCTACTCTCTCTGTAGACAAGCGCTAAAGTGGCGTTTTGCTAAGGGCTAAGGTAAGTAAACTATATCAAGTTTGAATCTCATTGTAACCTAGCAACTTACAGCGGCTCTATGCAGGAACAGGAACCGGCTGCTTCATAGTCAAAGTCAAAAGTGATAAATTCAATAAACTAAAGCTAATCATCATAGTCCATCGCATACTCTGGCAATAGGAACGTAACACTGTGTTAAATAATTTAATTGTTTCGTCAGGTGTAGCTTATTATACGGACCTTGTGGAATCTAGAACAAATTTCCGTGCGTTTAGGCGCTTTTACCATACCTATTATTGGAAGCAAGTATAACAGCTTACACATAGGACCCACTTAGTTTTTAGTCAAATTTCCGTGATGCTTGGCGACTGGGCTTCCCCCAGTTGTACAGTTTCTTCTTTGTGCCTTAAGGCTTAATTTATTCTGTCTCCTGCAGTAATTCACCGAGGGAAGTGGAAACTATCTTTTTTTTCTTCTCCTTATAATATCTTCTGATTCACTTCGTTGCGGGAACCAAGACAGTCATGTCCCTGGGACGCGCCGAACTTCAGTGTTCCGGTGTTTTCATGGTTGTATCTACTGTAGATCCTGGTGCACAGGAGTTGCAGCGGTTTTGAAAGGTTGTGGCGGGCTTGTCCCTTAATACTTCACAACGACCATCTGTGCCATACGTTTTTTTTTTAATTCGTATTTTTTTCCAGAAACATTATTGAACCTTTTTTTGTTAGCTTGAAGTTATTTCCACTATTGTTTCTATTCCCTAGGGTAAGTACCCTAAGCGGAGCCGCGACATATCATTAGTCAAGTGACTCAGCCGTTTTCAAAGCCGCTCTTTCCGACTGAGACCAGTTGCGAGCGGATTTTTGATTTCAAATATAAAATTTTGTGATCGATTTTGACGTTATAAGCTGTGTGTACATCTACAATTGTCGCAACTCTCTGCCATCTCTCTCCAATTAAAGTTATTTATTATACTCGGAATTTTAATTCGATTCCAGATTTGACAATTTCAGTGTTGCAACGTTATGACAAGTACTAAATAGTGACGTTGTGAAATTATTCGATATGGAAATGGAATATTTCCGGTTCGATTTTTCTCGCTTATAATTTTACTCTAGTAAACTAAGTATATCAGGAAATTAAATATTTCTGAACCGTTAATTTAATTTTGACGATTAATTAACGATCTGAGACTTTTCTTTTATAATTATGTGTGAAATAAATAAAAAATGTAATCATGAAGGAACATGACAAATAAAACAGATAGATGTATTATGGTAATACCTAAGTTATTTTATAAATTGTCGCCGTCATCGCTATCGCTATCCTGTCACTTTCTGTAACATTTATTATAAAACACACACACTGATTTTTTATCGATTTTTGTGTGCATCACTACACTATTATATGTGGTATCATTATTTCACAAAATGACAGTAGCTATTGTCAAATCTGGAATCTAATTAAAATTCTGACTATAGAACAACACGTCTCCCTCACTCCTCCACATTGCATGGCGATCCTGCTAGGATATATTTTTTCTATATTCTTTTGCTCCACATTGCACTGGATCGAATTTAATGATCATTTTTGTGTTACATAGTTCATTAACACTTTTTTTGTTAATATTTATCCTATAATGTAGAGTGGCTGAAGGGTTAAGAAACTACCACCGCTTTCTACTCAGATCATCTGCTCCAGCCGAAGCCTCCTGCATCCCTGGCCCACTCGCGACTTACGAATAGTTTCTTACCCTCCGAGCAGGTTCACTGCTCTCGCGACTCCACTCTGGACGGCCAATGAAGGCAAGCCAGAGGTGGGAGACCTGTTCCTTGTCATCTTTCACTCCAGCCAGCCAATTAAGGCAAGCCGGAGAAGAAGGAACGGTGACTTCTCCCTGGAGCACTCGGGATGATGGTAGCCCGCGGGATCGCTAATGCCCGTCACCTCGCCTCAAGGCGATATTATTAATAATTGAAGAAGGCTATAGGATATAAAACATCACTCTACGGTCAATAGCAGCCGGGCAGCGAGTGAAACGCGTGGAAGTAGCTAGTATATTTTATAAGGGGGATATTCCCCTCCCCTGATTACTTATATCATTTCACCCCTTATGTGTAAAAGTTACATAAGGGTCAGTGAGGGTAACGACCCAACGTCGATTCCCATTTCAGTTGTTGATAAATATACGTAAATTGAATATGTTTTTTGCAATTAATCTTATTGGTAGTGTTATATGGTGTATGTTCAATTCTTGAGTTGTGGAAAATATAATACGTATGTTTATGATTAGAGAAGTTCTGAGCTGTTACAATTCAAAAATATTTACAAAACAATATTGATGTGCTTCTTCTATCGCTTATAATTAGACTAGCGACTCGCCCTGGCTTCGCACAGGTGCAAAATGCATGTATTATACTTATAAACTATCCTTAAGAATCACTCTATCTATTTAATAACCGCATCGAAATCCGTTGCGTAGTTTCAAAGATGTAAGCATACATAGGGACAGACAGGCGGCGGATAGCGACTTTGTTTTATACTTTACTAGCTTTTACCCGCGGCTTCGCTCGCGTCATAAAAGGATAAAAAGTAGCCTATGTAACGTATACCAATACATACAGCGCCATCTATACCAATACTTTTGTTTTCCCTCGGGAATATCAAATTTTTTCGAGATAAAAAGTACTCTATTATTTAATCCAGACTACTAACTTTACGTCTGCAAAAATTCAATGCAATTG